AAAAGACGTCGACTGACTGCCTGAGCTATGGCATGGCCCCCACGCCAATTCTGTATAGCGAGCTGTGGTGTTGGTGATATTTTCAACGGTAAAAAGTAAAATGTAAAGTTGTTCCTGTGCCTAACTAATTAAGCACTATGGCATGGAGGTGTAGGGGGGAGTGGATGTATAGATTTACATTTTCTTAACTTCGGCACTATTTGGAGGTGAGTGGCCAGCTTAACACCCAGGCCGCTTTATCCCCGGGGGATAGGGCCCCGGTATTCATTGCATAGGAGGTTAGGTGGACCACAGGGCCGATCTGGAAAAGATGGAAAAATGAACATTCTTGACCCTACAGGGCTCGAACTCCAACCCGTTGGTCGTCTATATCGAGTACGCTATCCGGGTTCTATTTTCGATGCTAGGTTAATGTAAATTATGAACCGGTGTAGTTCATTCTTTGTAACTACAAGCTACAGGCTGGGCAGCCGGGGTTCGAATACCGGCAGAGGCAAGAGATTATTGCCTCTCCACAACTTCCAGAATGGCCCTGGGGCCTTCCCAGCTCCTTGTCCAAGGGTATCGGAGACTCTTTCCCAAGGACTAAAGCAGCCGGGGCGTGACGCTGATCACCTCCTTCTACTGCTGAAGTCAAGAATGATGGAATTATACTTACACTGCCCATGCGCCTTCATGGTGGGCAGCTTAATTAATTAAGCATACAGGCAACACATAAATTGCTGATTTTACTTATTGCACTTGCGCTGCTTTTGTGCTAATGAATTAGTTACTTGTTTTGAATATCACTCACTCGCGGAGCTGAGCCCTTCTTGAGAAGCCGTCAATTCTGCAGCTCCTCAGGAACTTCCTGCCACTTTATAGAACCTGAATGTTCGTTGCCGTGTTCACAAGAGCCATCCACTGGTCCCTGTCCCGAGTCAGATCAAACCACTCCATACTGTTCCTTCATATCTCTCTAAGATCCATTTTAATATTGTCCTCTCACCTACGTCTTTGCTCTTTCTAGTGGTCTCCTTCCTTCTGGCTTTCCCACTTAAATCCTATATGCATTTCTCTTTTCCCCTATTCGTGTTACATGCTCTGACCATCTCATCCTCCTTAACTTGATTATTCTAATTATACATGGCGAACAGTGCAAGTTATGAAACACTTGGTTTGAACATACTTGTACGATTAGAATCTCATGACTATTTTGACCTCTTTATTTCCTTTAGTGAGGTGAGACTAAGTCCACTTTGTACTGCGGCCTCTTCTGGCCTATTGTACCAGTCCCGGATGATGATGATTATGAAGCAATTGATGGAATGAAAATTGGCAGGGGAAACTGAAGTACTAGGCGAAAACATACCCCAGGGCCAATTTTTCCGCCACAAATCCAACATGACCAGAGCCCTGCTCGAACCAGGGCCGCCGAGTTTGGGGAGCCGGCGACTAACCGCATTTTGACGCCTTACTGGGTGACCTGTAGTTGACCTGCCGTTGGTATGGGACAGGCTTGTAGCTGCCGGCCCTTCACAGTGCCTGTCCAGCGAGCCGTGCCATGTTTTATATCCACTAGTGAATAGTGACAAGTTTAGTGTTATTACAATAGCATTGTAGCAACAAATAAATGTCAGACTAGTAGTGAGGATGGCTCCCTTTACCTGCTGCCTTATCTCCAATGTATCGTACAGACACATTTCCGGCTTGTCACTCAAAGTACAACAAAACTGGATGTCAGGTGAGGAAGTTGTTCCCGTCCTCTGCCTTTATAGAAGGCGGTGGAAATGCTTCGGCATTTTTTTCCCTGTATTTTTTCTTAAAACAAATAACAGGAAAAGCAGTTCGAATCGACTTTCAGAGTTCAATGTCGTCATTTTGTCAGTAAAAGAGTGAAAGTGGAAATACAGTTCCGGCTGATAGGATTAATATTAATTGGTTTTTAAGTGGTAGGTTCTGTAATGATAATTCGTGGGACCCGTTCAGAATTCAGAAACAAAATTACACATCACTGAACATAAGAGATATCTTGGGAGGTAAAGAGTAAGAAAGCCGGTCACGGCAGCCGAGCGGTCTAAGGCATGCACTGTCTTCGCTCGCTCGGAAGCCGGGATCGTGGGTTCGAATCCCACTCACGTCACGGATGTTTGTGTGCGTTTTTCTGTGTTTGTCTACAGGTAGAGGCCTTGCGACGAGCTGATCACCCACCCAAGGAGTTCTACCGAATGTGTAAGATAGAAAAACCGAAGTGAACGGAGTTCATGGAGGTAGGCCTAGGCCCACTGGGGCTGTAGTGCCAAGGTTGGGTGGGGGGAAAAAGAGTAAGAAAAAAGGGTAAATTTGTCCCTCTGCTTAAATATTCAAGCACTGTACCATGAAGACGTATGAAAGGGTGGGGTTAGATGGAAGTGAGGGATGAGCTTCACACCCCAGCCGCTTTAGCAGCCTACAAAGCCACCCGGTACCCACTGGACAAGGGATTGGTTGCCTGCATAGCAGGGCTGGACGCCTTAGGGAAAAGAGAAATTTGTGCTTCTTCCGGGAATTGAACCCTGTCTTCCAACCCGCAGTCCGTCGCTACACCGACTTCGTTTCTTGGGAGGTAAAGGTAAAGGTAAAGCTGTCCCTGTGCTTAATTAATTAAGCACTACTCCATGAAGGCGTATGTAGGAGTGGATGTATAGACCCACATTTTCTTGACCTCGGCACTAGTTGGAGGCGAGTGGTCAGCTTCACGCACCGGCCGCTTTACCCCCGTGGAAGAAGCCCCTGGTACCCATTCGATAGGAGGTTGGGTGGACCCCAAAGCCTGTCTGGACGATGTGGAAAAGAGAAAATTCTTGACCCTACCGGGACCCGGAACTCCGATCCCTCGGCCGTCCAGCCCGTAGCCAGTCGCTCTGCTACACTTTCCCGGCTCCTTTTCCTTGTGAGGCAGATAAATTGAAGCCATTTCTCTTGTCCTTAAGTGGAGAGGCAGATATGTAGCGTTGGGCATATGCGAAGAATTGCGTTTTGTTAGAATATTTTTTTCTTTTCGACACAAATTAGAGTTACCTTTTTCAAAAAGAATGTAGGAATCTTTGTCAGCATTGACATTTGAGCCTCTCGTTTATTTGAAATTCTTCTGAACCTTAGTCCCACCCCCACCCTTCTAGCCTACCTTGATTTTATACCTCTAATAACATTTGTTGGCCGGTCACGGTACCCGAGCGGTCTAAGGCATGTACTGCCTTCGCTCGCTTGAAAACCCTGATCGTGGGTCCGAATCCCACTCAGGGCTTGGGTGTTTATTTTGTGTGCATACGTTTATTCTGTGTTTGTGACGTCTTGTGATTAGGCAGTCGCCCTGCGACGGGCTGATCCCCAGTCCAAAGAGCTCTACCGTCTGTGTAAAATGCATATGGAACTGAAATAGAGAACTGGTACTTAAATGGGCTGGAAGAGACATTGGAAAGAGCAGTTAACAGACCAAAGGACAATTATGAAGTGAGACTGAGTAAAGAAAAGAACAAACAATACATACTAACCATAATTATAACAATAATATAATGCGGTATAATAGAATATAGAATTTTCTTTCTCGCTTGGTTGGTTAGCAGTCCATTAATACTCAAAATATTACTCTGAAGCTTTAAAATACTCAGTTTTGGACACACACACACAGACGTAGCAGCTGTGAAGTGTCAGGATATTTCTGATCTGTAACACAGTCTGAGAACTTATTTTGCATTCCATACAAAGAAGCAGCATGCCACGTGACTCAGTAGGCATGCGTACATGTCCGCGTACGGACATGCCAGTGCAGGGGCTGAAACCAGGTCTAAACGTCATATCACGTGCAAATGTCACCGCATGACCTGGCAGTTCTAATAGCCGCATTCTCTAGCTCTCTCTCCCCTGTACATGTGCGATACCACGATTTTGGGACTTTTAATCGAGAGCTCGATTTGCGATTTTTGTGACCCTGTTCGATCAACGTTCCGAAACACCGTGTCATGTGACCTTCGCAAGGGACACTGATTATTCGACGCAAGTAAGAAGCTTTTATAGAATAACGAATATTCCTCCACTTTTAGTGTTTGAGTGGGTAATATTAGCCGGAGCCTTCGCTATTGGTTCACGTGAAGCTAAATGCAGTAACATTCCTCTCATTGTAAGTAAAAGTAAGTAAAGATATCCCTGTAACAGACCGTGAAGGCCCATAGGGCTGTGAGACGTCGAGGCTCCCACATTTTCTAGACAGTCGGCTCACAGATGGCGGTGAGATTGTCAGCTTACGCGCCAACCGCCCTTTACTCCTCAGGAAGATTCCTGGTACTTATTTCTGTTAGAGACTGAGTCGACCCCATAATCACAATGCGGCTGGAGGATTAGGTAAATTGAAAAAGTTCACATCATCGGGAATCGAACCCGCGACCTCCCGGCTTGTTTCATAGTGCCTAAACCAACTACGCTACCGCGTGTCCCTTCGTACCATTGGAATAATATTAAAATAAATCTTAAGGAAATAAGTTGGAACTTGTGGACTGGATTTAAAATCGTGCCAGGTGGCGAGTACTTGTGAACATAAAACAGAACCTCCAGGTTCCGTAAATGTTTTGAGACTTTCTGAGTAACTGAACGACTCTTGGGTTCTTAAGGAGTGAACTACGAATTATGAGGCTAGTGAATATTATTACCGATATTGACACTTTTGTTTCCACGCACTTGTATAGGGGTATTACCATATGCTGGATTAGATTAGATAAATTGAGTTGAGGTTTGATTAAGTTAGATTGATTAGGCTACATATATGTGTATTGCTGACGCTTCGAAACGTCTCTCTTCTGAACTGTTATAAAGAAACTTAGTATAGAAAGGGTTAATCTGAATTTGTTATTTGATGAAGGAACATGCCCTTGTTTCAAACCTTGGACCTGTTGTTATTGCATTAACCAGTTTCGTTGTAACATGCCTAGGGGAAGGTGGAGACTTGGAGCTTCCTGACTGACGTTGAACTATTTGATTTATTTCAGACAAATGTGTGGACGATGGTTCTCTACGAGTCAATGGGAAGGGGAAAAAGATGCGAAAACCGCGGACTATCTACTCGAGTCTGCAGCTGCAGCAGCTAAACCGGCGGTTCCAGCGCACGCAGTACCTGGCTCTTCCAGAGCGGGCCGAGTTGGCGGCCAGCCTAGGACTCACCCAGACTCAGGTACGTACACACGTTCCAGTCTATCGGCCACGTTCAGTACATTCGAATATGAAGCGCTTTGGCGGCCAGCATGGGACTTACCAATGCTCAGTAAGAGCCTTCCTATCTGCCCCTGTAAAGTATATTCAGGTACGAGAGACGAAGAGAAGGGTGATCCTAAATTATTGTGGGGATTTGCGTGGCCTATAATTATCATACCAGAAGAAACAGAATAAAACTGCTAACGGAACATGAAAATGTAACTCAGAAAGTTTTATTGCTTATAGAATCAATAATGCAGAATTCTAAACAACTTCAACATGCGCGCTTTTCATGGCACGTAAGGTTCCCAAGTGTTCGGTAGCATTTGAGGTCTAACCGTTACGATCGCAGCAAAAGCACTACCAGTCTTTTAAAATTGCTTTAACCAACATCGGATAGCATTGTCTCAAGGTGGATCTTTTCCATATTGAATTCTGTAACGACATTGTCTTTTGGTAACGAAATTTATTTCGATAAAGAAAGCACGCATATTGAACAGTCGTCATTTTGAAGTATGACGTCATATTCTCTCCCAGGAATCAATGCGGCGAGTACAGCGTTGTCAAATTACATAACATTTTAATATTCCATATTCCGGCCTTCATTAAATATTAGTGAGAGTAAATGAAGGAAGATGAGATGAGCAGGACATTTAGCACGTGTGGATATGAGAAACTGAGAACAAAATTGTGACGAAGAAACAGCTCCTGAGGCTGCGGGAGAAGGTAAAATTGATTCAGTTCAGGGTCCACTGACGAGTTCTTGTGCACTTGCAATGAATCTTCGGGTTGTTTCTAATTCGTTTAGTGGGGGGGGGGGTGTTCCAAGTGTGTCCACTCGGCGCGGCGGCCACTGATTGGCCTATCGTAGCTTGCCCCGGGTGATTATGATGTTGGAGAATTTGATGGAATGAAGATTGGCAGGGGAAACCGAAGTACTCGGAGAAAACCCGCCCCAGCGCCACTTTGTCCACCACAAATCCCACTTGACCAGACCAGGGGTCGAGCCCGGGCCGCTGCTGTGGGAAACCACCGACTAACGCTTGAGCTATGGCGCGACCTAATCTTCGGGTTACTTAAGAGCAATGACTTTCATGACGAACTGAGTGGCTGTTGTTCCCTGAAGACGGTCTCACTTCCATGGAATAAGTAATTTAGGATTCATAAGCCCTATGCAAAGAGGAATAATCTCTTTACTAATATCAGGATATTTTCAAGTTGTAAAAACAGAGACACAAGCACAAGACTGGGAACGGAGGAAAATTCTTCTCATAGCTCGGCCTTACAACAGAAACAAGTGATCACTACAATGCAACAATGCTCTTTACCGTTATTGTGCATCTCCAGCAGTAGCAAGTGTGCTATATGAACATAATAGTAATTACTGCTGCACTGGACAATTAGTTGACAAACGAAAGGACTTGTAAATTTACACACTTCCTCAGTGGGAAACAAAACAGAAACAACAGAAATAAAAACATGAAAAAGGAAAGAAAACGAGGAATAGGCGTTGCGAAATCAGGGCGGAGTTTTTCCTGGAAATGAAAGAAAGCAGCCCGACTGCGCACGCAAACAAAGAAACATCACGACTCGTACCACGCACACGAGCGTGCCGCGGAGTCACGGGCTCGGGGCGGACTGCGGCCGGCTGCGACGGTGGGGCTCACGAAAGTATGGCCTTGTGCAGACCTCTCCCATTAACCGACTGACTGACTGTTGCACTAGCCTAACTGGCTGACGAAACGAATTTACTGTTTCACTGTCTTAGTGGCTACCTGAGGCACGGACAGACCATCTCACTTGCTGACTGGCTGATTAAACATTTGATCGATTAACCTACTTGCTGATTATAATCGGCGAGATAGATAAATATCTCATTTACTGGTTGACTTAATGGCTACCTTAGGCACGGACAGACCATCTCACTTGCTGACTGGCTGATTAAACATTTGATCGATTAACCTACTTGCTGATTATAATCGGCGAGATAGATAAATATCTCATTTACTGGTTGACTTAATGGCTACCTTAGGCACGGACAGACCATCTCACTTGCTGACTGGCTGATTAAACATTTGATCGATTAACCTACTTGCTGATTATAATCGGCGAGATAGATAAATATCTCATTTACTGGTTGACTTAATGGCTACCTTAGGCACGGACAGACCATCTCACTTGCTGACTGGCTGATTAAACATTTGATCGATTAACCTACTTGCTGATTATAATCGGCGAGATAGATAAATATCTCATTTACTGGTTGACTTAATGGCTACCTTAGGCACGGACAGACCATCTCACTTGCTGACTGGCTGATTAAACATTTGATCGATTAACCTACTTGCTGATTATAATCGGCGAGATAGATAAATATCTCATTTACTGGTTGACTTAATGGCTACCTTAGGCACGGACAGACCATCTCACTTGCTGACTGGCTGATTAAACATTTGATCGATTAACCTACTTGCTGATTATAATCGGCGAGATAGATAAATATCTCATTTACTGGTTGACTTAATGGCTACCTTAAGCACGGACAGACCATCTCACTTGCTGACTGGCTGCTTCACTTGCTTAGCTGGCTGGCTGATTAAACATTTGATCGATTAACCTACTTGCTGATTATAATCGGCGAGATAGATAAATATCTCATTTACTGGTTGACTTAATGGCTACCTTAGGCACGGACAGACCATCTCACTTGCTGACTGGCTGATTAAACATTTGATCGATTAACCTACTGGCCGATTATAATCAGCGAGATAGACAAATATCTCATTTACTGGTTGGTTTAATGGTTACCTGATGCATTGGTAAATAATCTGGTTTACTGATTGAAGAATTTTACTGAATAAATGGCTTGCTTTATGATTCATTTGCTGTGAGGCTAACTCACTCCTTCCCTCACTGGTTGTCCCACTATCCAACTGCTCTAGCGGCAGGCTGTATTACTGTCTGACCGTCTCATCCAACCCGCCCACTGACGGTTTGCCAACCAGTCAATCAGCACAGAAACAAAGAGACTAGGTATTCAGCAAACTAACTAATCAAGTAACCAAAATGGACAGCTTTTTCTCTCACCCGGAGAGTTATTTTATTATTTAAAAACAGTAATGGGTCTTAACTGAAAAGTGTTTCACCCCAGATTGGCCACGATCAGGCGATACATGAGAAATACATAAGTGACGGCGAAATGATCTAACATTAATATGCTAGTATGCAAATAAATAGTTAATTATGTCGTATTCGACGTAATGACATACACGCACTCAGTTTAGAAATAAAATTAGAATAGTTTAAGAAAATATCGCTTACGAAGGTAAGGGAATTTTAGAGGGGGAAACAAACATTGGACGAAAGTAGAAATTGCTCATATACGAGTAAGCCTGAGGTGACAAGTTGGGGTGTGTTCATGTTGAGGAGGTGTTTCTGATGTGGAGTCAGCTATCTATCTATCTATCTATCTATCTATCTATCTATCTATCTATCTATCTATCTATCTGCCTTCCTGTCTGTCTAACTAACTAACTAACTTTCTTACTTACTTACTTTCTTACTTGCTAGTTGCCTGTTCACTTGCTGACCAACTTCCTTGCTAGACGATTTAATGACTGACTTGCCTACTGTCTGGTTGGTTCATTGACTACCAACTCGCCCACTGGCAGTTTTGCGAACTGACCTTTGCCTGATTTACTAGCTTACTGCTTCGTTGATTGATCAACTCAATGAACTCTCATACTCACTGGCTGGCTGACTCTGTGTTCACTCACTGGCCAATTCTCTCTTTGGTTGATTTACTGATTGACTGGCCGGCAGACCAGTTCACTCCCTGTCGGGCTATTCTACTGACTGACTGACTGACTGACTGACTGACCTACAGTCTGAATGAGTCACTTACTCTCTGGTCGATTTAAATGACTGACCAGCTGCCAGTGAACATATTATAGAAAAGTTTTCTCTTATACCAGTATTATGCGAGATTATGTAAGTTACAGAGTTTCCACATGTTGCTGGAAATGTGGACACGAGATCACAGTAAACAATCATTACTGTTCGTATCGCCTGAAATTTGGGAGGGTGTTGAGGTAGAATTAAGATGGGAACTTGTAATGCAGGAAGTAGCTGCAGTATAATTATACACGTAGTAGCAGTAACAGTAGCAGTTTTAACAATGGTTCTAGTACTACTCGTACTAATAGTACTACCATTAGTAGTAACAGTAGCTGTGAGAGCAGTAGTACTAGTCATTCCTTCCCCTCGGTGCTCCAGCTCAGGGTGAGCTATGGCCTCCTGAACAATCTGCCCCCATTCTTCTCTGCCCTTCATCTTTCCTCTCCATTCGTTCACTTTCATTTTGCGGAGAGCAAGAATGGAGAATAAGATATAATAAAGAGTTATACAAATTATATAAGGAGCCAAAGATCTCAGTGACGATAAAGCTAAACAGATTCCCATGGGCTGGGCATGTACAGAGAATGGCTAAGGAGTGTATCCCAAAGAAAATATTATACAGTACAACAGGCGCAGGAGACATGCTGGGAAACCAAGAACTAGATGGATTGATGTGGTGGAAGAAGATGCAAAGAAGTTAATGGGAGTAAGGAACTGGAAGAGAGCAGCGCAGGATAGAGAGGAATGGAGGGGCTTGATAAGGGAGGCCAAGGCCCAGCATCGGGCTGTTGCGCCATAGAAGAAGAAGAAGATCATGTACATCCTCCAAACATCTCAGCTCCTTCGCTGGTGTCGATTTCTGTTCAGTCCTCCATCCGAGGCTGACTGTCTGGTTCTGAACAATTTAGTTTTTACGGTGTGCTGTGATCTAATGGTCAGAGTTCCTGGCTACAGATCCAGAGGTCCCGGGTTCGATTCCCCGCTCTACAAGATTTTCTGGGAAGTAGTGGATCTGTAACGAGGTACAATTAACCTCGTGAGGATAATGGTGGAGTTATTTCAAGGAAATAGCGGCTCCGGTCT